AACTCTCTTCTCTTAAATGTTGAAGGCGAATAGAAATTTCATTATTAATTAAAACAATATTTTAATAATTAGATTCTAGTATATAGTAAAAGAAAGGACTGATTAATGGCTAATCTCCGCTACAAATTTATTCATTATAATTATTTATCTTTTTATTTTATCTTTATTTTAATTCTTAAATTTTGAAATAATAAACTTTTTGCAGTATTTTAAATGGCAGCCTTTTGGTTAACACTGATTATGGCTTGACTTTGGGCCCTTCCTGTCAAATAATTTAGTGATCGTCAATTAATCAATTACAAAGTTACTTTGATTCTCGCTTACTGCCTCTTTCTTGCATCTAGAAGCCTTCGATGAATCTTTTGGCACGCTTAATAACTGTAAATAAATGAAATGGCTTTTTTTACAAAACTCAAAGGCTTCTGTAAAGTTTCTTTTATTCACTTGTGACTAATTTACTTTTAGTTTTTATTTATCTGGCCAATTTGATTTATTTATAAAGAAACTTAAGCAGCTTGTTTAACAGCTTTAAGTTTACGATTATAATAATACTAATATTAGATAACTTGGGTTTTGTTGTATCTAAAATCTTATGTTTTAACTTTTTAGTTAAAAAAAACCGATTTTTAATGATTTTTTATTTTCTCAAGTTTATTAACTTATACGCACATATTAGTTGCATACTTTTATCACGTGTAGAAGTTTCGTGGTCATCGCTATCAAGTGTTGTTTCTTAGGAACTAATAGCCACACAGAAAGAAAAGGCGGCGGCTTGTTGCTCAAATGATTTAATTTATTAGATGCAGGAGGTAATTAATTATTTAGATAGTATTACGTTGTGTGTGTTTTAATATAGAGTTATTAGCATAATTTAACTAATGGTGTTAGCAACGGTTAGTGAAATATTGTCTAAAGATCAATCGGAAATGCTAATATAAATTATTATTTATGTGTAGTTTCATTAATATTAAATGTGCAATTTTACGTAATTATTAAAAAACTTATTCGTGTGCTTTCTTCTGGTCAGTGTATTTATAAGGTTTAGATCCAGATGATGCTTGAGAATTACTCATAATTGTGATGAACATAAATCACTCAAGATTATTTTAAAGAATTAATTCAGAATTATTTGTAGTAAAATTTATAAATCAAAAGAAATTCAGGACAGTGTTGTTCAATGTGAATTGAGAATTGGAAATTGCTTTGGAATCTTTGGATTGAAGAATATATTAGATGAAATTATTCCGTTTATAAGATTCAATCAAACAAACTTTCATGCCATTTAAAACTGCTTTGATAAATAAGAATATGAAACAAGGTTTCCGGTCTAAACTACAGTACCTGGACAAAAGTATCGGAACGCTTGCTTTTGTTGATTGCGCAAAAATATACATAATAAACATATATGAA